CATTAAAATGTCTTGAAGGGTGACAGGTTTTATTTATTCAAAGCTTAAAAACAAAAAAACAAAAAAAGGAAAATTTAAAGGAGTGAAAAACATCCAAACAAATCCTCAGAAATCAAACAATGAATCTGAAAAAGATTTATTTTTGTTGTTACTTAATGAAAGATTAGTTGCCATTTCCCTTCATATATGTTTTCCTTCCAGTTCAAGGTGAAATATTTGGCATTTGTTTTAAGCCGAACATCTTCCTGAGACGACCTGGGCTCGAACCTGCAGCCTCAGGATAACAAACCGCAGCACAAACCACTGATCCACCGCAGTGTGTATATCTGAACGTGCTCAGAGATGTTCTTGTGCAAAGCTGTTACTGAGCTCAGAGGCTCTGATAAAAACTATTTCAAGTATTTAAYTGTTTATGTCCACATTTGCTGGTTCCATTTTGCCGCAAAAAAACTTATCATAAGGCTCTCTGTTGGCCTGACAGCTTGTACACACGACGCGCTGGAATCAAACTGTCGAGCGAGAATAAGGAGGAGTTGTAAATATTTGATGGCTCCGTAATGAAAACACGGTTTTTGAGTGGCATCTTTCATACGAAGCGTTCAACCTCTTTCTGAATAAAACGAAACAGAGAAATCCTCCTGGGAGAGGAATCCTCTGTATGACTGACAGCTGAGCCGCAGCCAATGACAGGCCTGTCCTGGTCCATAATGGGCCAATGATAGGTGAGAGGGCTGAGTACAGCCCCCCTCTGAGTGTTCCCTGTTTGTTTTGATTGAGAGAAGTGTGTGTGTGTGTGTGTGCGTGTGTGTGTGTGTACTTGTTTTGACAACAAAGTGAGGACCATTTGTGTCATAGTTACTATCAAAGTGAGGTCGATGATGTAAAGTCATGACCTCTTCAAAGTCCTCACGTTGTTTACAGCTCTGCTGTGCTTTACTAGTTAGGTTTAGAGGTATGGTGTGAATTAAGTTCTGGTTATGGAGGTTCTATAGAACAGCTGGAGTGTGCAGAAACCAGGTGACCGTGTGATCGGCTGGTGAAGCTAAAGGCTAATGCAAAACCGTCAAGAGTCTGGATTTCCCATTACTGTACATGTTGACAACAGAGCAGAAAAAAGGACTGACGATGTAGAAATCATTAAAACTATTAATAATATTAACCCAATTATTATTAATGTTTTACAGTTTATATAATCTATCTAATGTTTTAAATAATGTCAGAAAAGC